ATAACAAAATTGGTTGTAACCAAATTCAGAATCCAACTAGAGTGCAGGGTCTACCGAATATATGACTAGTTTTTTTAATTCACTGCATGTTCGTCAAAAGAGAGTTACCGAAAAAAGAAAATGAGTTGATTTTCAGTGCTGAAATCACTTTACCTCAGATGTTAAGATGTTGTTTCTGCACAAAGCTAATCCTGAGATAGTCATGAGGAGCGTTTATACGGGCCCGGACAAATGTTTGAAAAGACGAATTGTTTACCTGTGCAGCAACAGGCCGTTTACACGGAACCGATGCAAATTCTGTTACAGATTGGGGTAATGTTTACCGCTTAGAAACTTGCACGGTTCAGGGGCACCCAAGAGGATATAGTTCAAAACCACTTCACATAGCATTGTTGAACGTATTTTAGTATTTAAACGGTAGATATAGGCATATTTTTATCCCCTAAAAACTTTTCATCTGTTCGGATTTCCTAGCTGAAAGTCTAGTGATCCGAAAATTTTAAGGAATCAAAATTTACCTTTTCGAAAATTTCAGCCAGAAAAAGGCTCCCGAAAATTCTAGGTGGCCTTTTTTAGGGTAAAAATCCGTTAAAAATGGGTAATTATACCATTTTGTAGATGTTCGAAAATCCTAGGAGAGGCAGGCAAGCAAGAAATTTTACAACAAATGTTCCGAAAATTCTAGGTCTCAAATGGTCTTCCGAACGGATATTTTCCAAAAATTGCCTTTGGGTGCCCCTGACGCGCAGATAACGTGTGAACGAAAGGCGGACCCGTGCAAGTTTTTATCCATTCAAAAATTTGTCCGGACCAGTGTAAACGGGGTCTAAATACAGTGGCGGATCTATGGGAGGGGTCCGGGGGGCACGCCCCCCCTTTTTTTAGACCAAACTGAAGCCCGAAGACCGCCTTCCCCTTATCTCAGGGTCTGGATGACTGCCCCCCCTTCCTCCTTATCTGAAGGTCTGGACCCACCACTGTAGATATTCCTGTAGACCGCCCCGATGGATCCCGTCGTTTGAATGAGTAAATATTGCCTAAAAATTTCCAGAAAGGCTAAAAATTTAACCGTTCCATTCGTCCACGATATTCGGACGTAAATCTACTAACATATCTACGATTTTTGGAGGCTGTGTTTTTCGCATTTTATTGCCAAGATATTACGAAGGTCTCCTGAAAATTTCGGTATATTTGGCCACTTTCCAATACTGGCCTCCTGCCATATAAAAACACCGAGTTAGCTCAAGCAGCTGTTATACAGCTAGAGTTTAGTTGACTCGCTGTGTTACACTAAATACCCTTCAGACCTTTCCCGGCCTTACCTTATTGATATCTCCCCGAGAGGCACCTTCATTGCTAATAACGCTGCCCAAATAAATAAAGTCAACAATAAATTCCAGTTTCGCCAAACATCTGGGGTGAGAGCATCGCCTTGTCCCATGTAAGGGAATCCAAGACAGTCCTGGATACTGGAATGTACGTCGTGGATTCCGGATTCCAAAGCCCAGGATCCGGAATTCCGGATTTGGATTCCCTTGCATGGCTAGAGCCTTGGGCTTCAGGCAAATCCATTTACTGTCTTTTTCCTCTCAAAGATGAGGACGATTATTCGAGAGTATAGCCAAATCATCAGCACTTCAAGATGGGTGAGGAAGGTCGAACTGTGTTATAATATATGTTGACCTGTATTTCTCAGGATGGCATTGACGAATACTCTGAGATCGTGACAGAGGACTCAACCATTCAACACTGCCTTACTCCTGAGTTAACAACAAATGCCGCTGAGAGCATATTGTGACCATGAAGACTGATTTCGGATTAAAAGTGGTCACAGAAAAAAGCTTATTACACATGCATAAAGTGAATATGTGATCGGCACAGGCTCTTACTCCGTGGAAACCTGCCTGTTCTTCTTTTAGCCTGCCCAAGATCGCTTCATTGATTCGTCCCAGTAAGACGTCCCTGCAGACACTTACAGATAATCTTACATTGGATCAAAAATGAGTTTCCTTCGAACAATTTGAGGTTAATTTGCTTTAACAGTGGAGTTTACCTATCAATAAGAAAAAATAATAGCGGGGCTTTCTCGCGGGAGTAGCAGAGAACCATGGGTAAAAAATTTTTGTGATCTATGCATCCAAGAATTTTTGGTCGTCATATATGTGACCGAACGTCCGTTCGTCCGTTCGCACCAATGATAACCAATGTGAAATGGCATTTTTCAGCTTGTCCGGGAGCCTGCAACCTACGTTTAACTTGATGATAGACGTCCATGTTATGGTCATTTGACAGCTGTCAGAAAGGGGTATTTGCTGACCTGTAGCACATGACCGTGCCGCGGGCTCAAGTTTCAACTTATTTAGGTCATTTACTTTTTTACGGTTTTTCTGCTGACCAGTTACTAGCCTTTAATTGATCGCAGACTCAAGTTAAACTTTTTTCAGCCGCAATATTGTTTCTTCTCTGTTGTGAAACACAATTTCCCTCAAAAGGTTGTTTCATGAAAGTCCCAGTAATTACTGGAGCCGGAAAGCTTTTTATTTTTTAATAGTTTAAAACATCCAAGATTGAGTTTTAATCACATTCAAAATCACGACTGGACTACCGTATTTATTCGATTAACCGCCTTGAGCGCTTATTAAATTTTTGGACCTTGAGAGTGGGCGCTTATTCGAGGTGGGCGCTTATTCGAGGCTGGCACTTTTTAAATTTTCGCCATTTTCAGCAAGTGAAGTATGTTTATTTTGCAACAAAACAATAAATGTTAATAACAAAACGTGAAGAAGTAACAATGCAAGGTTTCTGTAAAATACTCTGAAGAAAACTCCGTCCTCGGGGAAGTCTCTTATTAGAATTTATTCACTCAAGTGGGTTGGGTGGGGGTGAGCGTTTATTTGAGTTTGATTAGGAGGAGGAGGGGGTGGGCGCTTATTAACTTTTTCTGCCTTCAGGATGGGCGCTTATTCGAGGTGGGCGCTAATTCGAGGTTGGGCGCTTGTTCGAATAAATACCGTATGACATCATTGGTAAAACGTCGTCATCTCGCACAAGGAATAACGTAGATATCATAATTTCCAAATTTTTGCCTAATGGTAGTTCGATTTTATCCATTATCTCAACTAATTATAATTAGATTCTTATATCACTTGTATTTAACTGATAATAGTAGTTGTCCGGGTTGATGAATGCAGATATAATCAAGCTTAGAATTTTGAGTCCATGGGCTTCCCTGTTACTTTAATCAAAAGTAACTTCCTCTTCGAAGCTGGTTGAAGAATCTTTGGTTACTAATTATGTGAGAGAGGAATATGTTACAAAATCTAAAAATTATAGTGAGGAAAAAAAGTAGTTCTCTGCTTGCAGAGCCTACTTTTTTAGTTACTCTTGGAATGTGTGCTAAAAGTTCTACCTCTACTTTTAGTTCGTCAAGACAGAAACTTGGATTATTGGTAGCAGGGGAACATACCTGCCTCGTTTCCATATTTTTAAGAGTTATAAGCTTAGAAATTTTGGCCTATCTGCGAATACTACAGCCGGCAAAACGTCCAAAGTGGCGTGAAGCGAGGAGAGACGGCTGTATTCGTCGGCTAATTTGGGACTGCAATTACAGAACTAGAATGGGCTTTGCCAGAGGTATCCCAGTAATGAAACAACCCCTGGAAACAACAATGTATAGAGTCAGAAAAACTAGTATTGACGGGGGACTCAAAGAACTGAGATTCTGCCAACTGTAAATAATCGCGTTCAGAGAATCGTTTACTAAGGTTTGTGGTAGAGGCTAATATATTATCGCTCTTTGAAAGAGTAAATTATTACTCTTAGTTAATTATTTCAAATAGTAAGACTAAGAAGTGTGCTTGCAGTGTTTCAAATGGTTAAGTTCAGAGAAACAGTTAACTATACTGTACTCACACCCGACCCACAGCCCGCATCCCCAAAATTCCATACCATGGCATCTTTTTTATTACTACCATTTTTTTTATTTCTGACACACAAACAATATTACACTACATTACAATTCATTACAATAAATTCTCATTATTGGTTACTATGGCATCTTACTTGACATATACAGCCATTAATTTTTCTCAAACGCCCCTATGCAGTTTTCTTTTGTTTTTCGAAATGGAAGCATCTCAACTTTAAAGCTCAGTCTGAAAACTCTGTCACTATCATGCTCATCAGACTAAGCACACCCCAAGACAAGATGATGGGTCCACGTCGAGTACTTTAAGTGTTGTAATAGACTTGTGATTTTACCAGTTTTAATATTGGCTTTAAACTAGTGAACAGTTGGTCTACATGCAGGTTCTTAAACGCGTCATGCTATAATAGACCTTGTTAGCTTGTATCTTTTGTTTTCGTTTTTCAGACCACGTGCTGGTACCCCCGAGAACTGTTTCTTTCAAATGTTGTCGCATGCACGTGCTAATCTATGCATAAATTATGACAGGACACTGGAGAACATCACATGGTCTGAATTGGGAAAACAAAACGTACAAGCTAGAAAGGTTTTTTAGACGGCAAGCAGTCTCTCGTCAGCTCTGAATTTGGCGAGTGGAGTGTGCGCACGCGTGCTTTGACAGGAGCAAGAAAGAGGGTGCCCTCAGTCACAGCTCAACAGACTAAGAGAATAGAGAACCTGCTCGTAGTCTACGAGAGAACCTGGAGGCTAGTGTTATGGAATGCATTCAAATTGCCATGATGTACACTGTCAAGAGATATTTGTCAACTATTTTCCACAGCTATAGATAATAATTACATCTAACAAAACATTTGAGGAGCAATAACCTAGTACACTTTATTCAGGTTTTAATGTGTTTGACAGTGCTGCAACATAACTCTAAGTAAATGACTGGGCTACAACCTATACTTCCACTTTCTGAATGTTGTTTGTACCAGGTGCTACAATGTACATAACTGACTTTCGGGAAAAAAAAGTTCCCTGGTACAAAAGTACTGTTTATAAATAACACATTTTCTGGTGTTCTCCTTTGGTATCACTTGTCCTTGTTGATTCCATATTTTTCTTTCATTTTCTCCAATTCCTGTCTCTTCTTTTCCTTGTCCAATTTTTGGAAAGCCTGAATAAAAAAGAAATAAATAATAAACATTTGATTTGACTAAAGTACAGTAGAACCTCGATATGAAGAAAGGCCAAGGGACTTGCACTATAGTTATGTTTGATCAGCTAGAAAATAATATTTTTTTGGTTCTATTGTCCTTTCATATCCGATGAAAGACACCACGAGTCATGCTGTCTAAGTGACAGCCCCATCTTGGACAAATAATATTGTTAGTCTACTTTACCTTGGTAGATTGGTAGTAGAGAACAACAAGGTAGCGATTGCAGACGTTGAAGCCTGACAGATGATCACAAGCATTCTTGGCATCAAAGATATCTTCATACACTACAAATGCTGTGCCTCTTGTTTCTGGTGCATTACCACTGCAAGTGAATATGAGTGCCAACAAAGAGGATTCCCGGCATTGCCTTGACTTTAACCTTTCCTAAATTACAACTTAGCCATATGCAACAGTAACTGTAAGTGTTGTAATATGAACTCGAACTATCTTTCGATAATTTGATTGCTCTGACAGCTGTAAATGGCTGTGAACGCCAAACATTCTTGAACTCCATAATTCCTATCACTTAATAGCTTTTATTGTAGACCATTGCTTTCATCACAACTGTGTTAAATATATACTTCCTTACTTCTCTAAAAAAATGTCATTAAAACAGCCGTTAAGGTCTTCAAAGTGCCTAACTCATAACATGTCCTGTGAGTTCTGTATTGATTGTGAATCAGTAGTTGAAAAGTAAAAATCATGTGTATTGCATATGCCAGAGTTATTCAAATTTTCTTCATTGATCCAACCAAAAGGACATAAAAATAAAAGTGAGGTAAGAAAAAGATGAAGAAAAAGAAAAGTAAAAATAAGCAATTGATGTTTATACAAATGCTCTTCATTAGAAACACAACAGTGTTAGAGGAACAGCATGTTTATACAAACACTTACAGCAAAATTTGTTGTATCGTGCTGCGCGTATCGCAAAGTTCGACGGGATTTTGGGTTCTTCTCTTCTGTCAATCATTTGAGTGAAGACAGGGTTAATGCAAATCAGACAGCAACATGCTTGCCCAGCTTGGCTGAGAATGACTCTAGACTGCTCAGGAATAGCAAAGGAAATCCCAATGGTGAGTGGATTTTTTTGTCGAAGGAAGGAAGGAGGCAGATGTTGCTTTATTCTTACAAGTGACAAGAATAAGAAAGATCAGTCGACTATTGCCTGAAACAGGACGATCACAAAGCAACGAACCTTGAAACATGAAACAAACAAAACAGACCGAAATCCACCAATCACAAATAATAAAAACCAGGACCTTTTGAACTCATGCAAGTAAACATGTGTTTCCTAAGAGGTCCACTAAGACGATTGATGGAACAGAAAAACCCAAACTTCCTTCGAATTTTGCAAAATGCACAGCGCGATGCAATGAATTTCGCTGTAAAAGGAATCAGCGCGTTCATCAGGCATCAGAGATTGGAGAATTCTCCATTTACTAAGCAGAATTCTCCGACTAACTTTCGGTAGCTTATGAATATTTTTTATTCACACGTTGAGCCTCATTCAAAATATTCTCCGGTAATGTTACACCTTTCTCCGGCTACTAGGATTCTTAATAAAAGTTCTGAGGAATAAATATTTAAGGATCAACTTAAAGTGGCTACATGTATAATGTCACGAGGACATTACCGCGAGGATCTTTACAGAAGGAAGCTATGGAGAAGAGCGCAATTTCTGGCTGATTGTTTTAGGAAAAGATGGATACGAAAGTACATCCCAACTCTGCAACAACACCAGAAGTGGATACGCGAGAAAGACAACTTAAAGATCGGAGATGTAGTTCTTGTTGTGGATAACAACTCCCCGCGAGGATGTTGGCTCTTTGACCGTGTTATCAAGACTTTTCCAGGACGAGACGGTAAAGTCCGTGTGGCAGAAATTAAGACGAAGAACTCTACTCTAACAAGCTGTCTAAAACTGTGTTTATCGAAACTTGAGAGTTTAAGAGACTGCTTCAAATGACCAGGTTATAATTGGCGGACTCTTAGTTTTAAATTTTCCTCGTATTTATTTTGCTGAATCAGTTAAATTCAGTCAAACCTCCCAGGATGTTGGGGCAAATTTTTTCCTTTTGTTTTTCGTTTTCTCACTTACTTGATATCGTGTATTCTTTTTCTTTTCGCTCTCCGGTATTTTGTTAATTACGCTCCTTTGTTACGTGCTGTATGTAAATTTCGTTATAGTTTGTTATCTCGCCCTTATTTTTTACCAGTTTATGCGTCTACTAGTGCAACAGCATTAGTGGAAGTAGATTTTTTTCCTCGGTGCATGGCCCTGACCACCAACTGTGTCATCCTCAGCATTTGGTAAGCAGCTTCGTTTTCATCGTTTTTCATTAATCTCCCTTTGCAGTCGCCTTAAAGTAGTTTTTCTGTATTGTAACTATTATTTTTTCGCTCTTTGTAGGAATTTACTTTTATGGGTCGTTAATAGTAAAAACATTTGCTGATCGTGAACGTGTTGTGTTTTTGGAATTGGCCCTTGCCCGTTCACCTTCCTTTTCCCACCCCGACACAAGAGCGTCGGGAGAGCTTGCTCGCAGGCTAGTAAACGATCGACTAGTGTTATATTAGCTTATATTATATATTTTGATGTGTCTAGTTTTAGATGGAAAGGCGAATTTTCCTACGGCGTAAACTAAGCGGGAACACCCAACGACTCTTTTCCGGTACAATATCTGTTCGGAGAAGCAAATATTGCCTACAATTTTCTATAACCGGACGACGGCTAAAAATTTCCACATGACCGTTCCGTTCATGTACCATTTTCGAAGCATATCGTATAAATTCCTCACGATTTTCTCAAGCTTAATTTTAACATTTGAGAAAAGGGAACCTAAAATTTTCCGATTCAAAAATGGGATGGCGTTAAAAATTAAGCGGGAATGTCTAATTTTCGTTGTATCTCAAATTTCACCCAAATTTTTCGGACAAAAAATTCTCAAGCCCATGTCATTTCCAAAGGACTAAAGTTCCACTAGGATGACCAAACACGTACATACAAATTTTATAGCGCCGAAAAGAGTGCATTTCTAGATATCTTAAAATACTCTGGATAGCCTAAAAAGTTTTTCCAATGTATTTAGGAGAAAACCGTCGTTGGGTGCCCCTGACTAAACCTAAGTCACTTTTAACAATGTGTAGCACTCTAGAGGATGCTGGCTGTCAAGTTGGTGGGCTCATTCATTTAGTAGCTATTGCACTGATGAACGCGCACATTGCAGGGCACATTGCTTACGATTTCTATCAGAAATCTTCTAAATCTGGCAAGTCTGATATCGTCTAATGTTAAATCTTCAAAATAACTTTGAGTGAATAAATAATAAATACATGAATAAATAATTGAATAATGATTTAGAGGTAGCAGATCCACTAAGTGGTTCTTCGTCTACCTGATTCCTGGTCGAATTGGAATTTGAAATAAACTAATTAAATAGACTTCATATATCGTCAACATGTATTTCGCTTTGATGTCACACTGAGCTAATTGAGTTGACGCACTTAATGCCAAAATTCAGGTATTCTATTACCAACCTGCTGTTAGTATATCATGCATTCCTGTTGTTGACGCAATGTCATTTTCTTTGGCTCTTCTTGACTGGTCAACACAAGAAACTTTTTCTCGAATTAATCTGTGGGAAAAAAATCCTAGGTAAGTAGCTCTGGGCTTTTTATTGCTGTTAATCGTAAATATTAGATCTAGTAATTTAAACAAGATCTAACTTTGTTTAATCCCAGCGCAAAAGGACTGCAAAAAGTGATGCTGCTGCTTAATATATTTTATTGATATCAACTCGCGCGCTCGGCGTCTCTCCATCAGGAAAGTCTACAGTGTCCGACTCCTAGCAGAGCTAGTTTCCTGTCACTTCCACGAATTACATGAAAGGAAAATAGTATCGGCAAATCTTATTAAAATTTGCAATCAAATTAGTGGCAACCACTCTTTTTAAATAATCAATTATGATCATGAAAAAGCCTTTCAAACATACAACCGTCTAAGCCGAGTGCTAACTTTCTTCGGATTAACCTCCCATGACAGAATTGGTTATAACCAAATTCAGCATCCTACTGGAGCGTAGAGTCTACCGAATATATGACTAGTTTTCTAATTCACCGTTCGTCAAAAGAGAGTTACAGAAAAAAGAAAATGAGTTGATTTTCACTGCTGAAATCACTTTACCACAAATGTTAAAACGTTGTTTCTGCACAAAGCTAATCCTCAGATAGTCATGAGGGGCGTTTACACGGGCCCGGACAAATTTTTGCAGGAACAAACGAATTTTTTACCTGTGCAGCAACAGGCCGTTTACACGGAACCCGGATGCAAATTCTGTTACAGATTGTAGTAATGTTTGCCGCTAAAAACCTTGCACGGTTCTGCAGATACCGTGTAAACGAAAGGCGGACTCGTGCAAGTTTTTATCCGTTCAAAAATTTGTCCGGACCAGTGTAAACTGAATCTAAATATGTGGATATAGACCCCACTCCGAAGGGTTGTTTGAGTGGGCAAATATTGCCTTAAAATTTCTAAAGTTCCGGAAAGGATAGAAAATTAACCGCTCCATTTGTCCACGATATTCGGAGGTAAATCTACTAACATACCTTCCGCATACCTACGATGTTTGGAGGCTATGTTTTTCGCATTTTATTGCCAAGATATTACGAACTTGGGTCTCCTGAAAATTTCGGTATAAAGTCAAAACGTCTCCTAGAATTTTCTAATGAGTGGACGGCTACTTTATGCCCTCGAACTTTCCACCGGACCTATCGGGGTAACTGACAGTTTCGGATGAGATGAAATAACATTGTTATAAAGTCCTTTATGAGGTGTCTTTTACTTAATGCGATATTTCTATCGGCAAAAACTGTTAAAACTGGTAGAAGTGGAGAGTGAGTGATCTAATTAATTCTTTCTTTCAATTCTAAGAGTTCTTTTCTTTCTTTTGCAAACGTAAAAGTACTTTTTGAAGATTTCTACCGATATAATCGTGTAAGACTTCAGTTAGAGCACAGCAAGTCTCACTAAACAACCCACGCAAAGTTTTTTAAAAGACAATTATTCTGAGGTGTTGGACAAAATAATAAAAAAATTAACTGTAAGCAGACACAGCAAAAGCTATCGAAATTAGTTTTACTTCATAGGTTCGAAAACAAAACGCTTGTCCAGATCTTCAAACAGCATCACCTCAAAAGCTTGTTAAAAGTGCAGGCTCTCTTGGCGTAAACTGATGAAAAAAGGTCAAACGAATAGGGATATTAAACTTCGGTTAGATACCAACGACGAATCACAAAATTCAATTTATGTCACTGCCGCGGTATACGTAGTCGTAGGCGCTACTTTTGTTACGATCTTAATAAATTCGCGGCTAAAAAAAATTGCTTCTTCAAGTCATCTACTCAATCATAAAATTCTAAAAACAATAGTTTTACAGCTGAAAAAAGTGCAAAAAACCTTACAGAACCACAGGCAGCATGACAACGCCGGCAGAAAGCACTTTAAGCGCAAAAAATCTCTCTGTTTAAATTGAAGCAAACCACAAAAACATTTCAATATTTTAATATTTGTTGTTTTATCAGTAGCAGACGCATGGATAAATGAATTATGTGAGTTTAAAATTACTCAAAAGTAGAGTCATAGTGATGTCTAAAATCAATCGTTTCCACACCATAAGTTTATTGCTTGTTTCCTTGCTTCGATCTTGAGAACTACTCCTATAGCATCCACCCAATTTGTAACCTTGCTGGCGGCGAAAAGAAATGTCAACATTTTTAGGAATGGGTTGATAGAATTCTTAGAAGTCTTTTTCTCATACGCATTAACTTCTTAGTATGTTTTTAAAATGCCTGTGTGAAAATTTCGTTGACATTGGTTTAAAAAACGCCTTTGAGGAGGCTTGCACCCATTTTTCAAGGTTTAACCCCTTCGTGTTTAATGTTCTATGACTTTTAAGCTGTACTGCCCGTACGCTTCCATAACAACAGAATAACGATGACATGCAAAATAAACAAATTGGGAATTTTCTCGAAATCAATCAATAAGCATTAAAATCATCTAGTGTGCTGATAGTTAAGACCGTTGTTTTTGACTTGGCGAGATGTGAACAGTACCGGCTATGAGAGCGTTTTTGAAATGTTATGTTCTAATAATTTTACAGACAAAAAAAGTTTTTTTTTTCACTTTTTTCTTTTTAATTATCAAAGCTAATGATTTACAATGCCACAACCAATACAAATTTTGCCTTAAGGTTCAGTTCAGTTCTTTCAGTAGTGAAAATTGGCAATTTGGCTTTTTCGTACATGCATTCCAGCCAAAGTTATGAAGCATCAAACACGAAGAGTGTAAGACCTTGAAAAATGGGTGCGAGCCTCCTTAAGGTGTTGGAAACAGTTTCGCAGAGAGCTATTGATAATTTTCAATCGCCTTTAAAGCGATTTACCTCTCGTCGCCACAAAATTGTTAAGTGTGTTTATCTTCTTTCAGAAATGATAATTTGTCTATCCAAACAAAGTAAATTCGCCACCAACGCGCCAATTTCCTTCATTTTCAATTTTTGGTCACCTGTAACGTTACGTGGCCATAATTAAAAGTTAAGGCACTAGAAAACCTCAAGATTTACTTTTGAGGAAAAATTCATTTTGTTCTATGTCTCCTAACGGGAGATATTGCCAATCATTCATTCGCTCCGAACATACATTTGACCTAGGCCTTACATCTCTTAAGCTTGCAAATTGACCGATCCAAAATAAGAACTAAGAATAAATTTTATTTGATAACTAGAGTGTTCCTAGCTCTTTAACACCTGCGCTAATACTCAGGCTAACAACTTAGACCGCTTGCTTGTTTTACTTACGTAGATGAGCATATTTTAAGGCCCATTTTCACGGGGGGTAATAATTAGCTCGCTGTGACAAACATTTTATCGATCTTAATAATTTTTATGTCAGAAATAAAGTAGCGATGTCCTGACAACTGAACCATGTAATAGTATCCCAAGACAAGAGCGCCTCTCTTGCCCTTGGAAAATACTGGAGTCGCAAAAGTCTAAAAATTAACTGTTTAAAAGACCAGGCGCAGTGAAAAACGTTAAAAGCTTCATTTTGGAACTTGTTTTAAAAAAAGAAACATCACTTTACATCTGCTTTGGGGCAATTGCCTGAAAACAACAGTGCTGCTGCAATAGTCTTATAATGTTCGTTTCATAATTTGACTGGCTGGCAGAATAATTAATTAGCCCTTGAGCTGTTAATACGCATGACATGACTGTGAACGTTTTAATTTTCTGCACAAGTTATTAGCAGCAACTTTCAAGTTGTGGCAGAGAAGGAAAAGAGGGGAACATGTATGTTCTCCTTCAAGTTGGGATTTTCTTCCTACTGCTGTTTTTCTTAAAGGTTGTTTTCACCTGCATTGATGGTATGTGTTCTAATTTCATTTTACAAGTTTTTTCTCAGTTTCTTTTTCAACTGGAGAAAGAATCTTCCGGGGGTGGGGAAGAGTTTTAATTCGTGTTAGTGTAGCTGCATCACGAGTTCCCCGTCGTGAAGATGTTCTTCAGCGGCACTATGAAAATTCTGCTAGTCTACTTGAAATAGTAAGAAATAAAATATTTGGACTTGCAATATCTGGACATCTTCCATTCAAATACTACGTATGTGAAGGGTTTGCAACAAAAATATCAAAAATTACAGAAAAACATTTCAAAGTAGAGAGGGTCATTCCCTAAAATGCTGTTATATTATATTGCATTCTTTGTTTGAGCCAAAAATGTTTATCCTTGAAGAACGTTTTTAAACACTTAAAAGTGTTACGTAGAACCCCTTCCGCACACATGCGAGAACTGTAACAGGAGCTTTATCAACAAGCCCATATCAAATTTCTCTCCATTCGATGTTCAATTGAAGACGAATTTTGCGCGATTTAATCCTGCCATTGAAAATCCGACTCCAGAAACTTACATATGAAGTGTTGTGTTTGACGAATAACCTCCTGAGCATAAAAAAAATTGTAACTATGGTTGAATTCAAATAAGATGTAAATAAAATTCCAGTCTTTTAAGATTGGAGTTATAGCCGTGATACATGAACGAAGAGGCAAAAATTACTCCAAAGAAGTGTCATAATCGGCTTAAAATCATATTTCTGCCTTAAGTTTTGCCTCAGAAACTAGTTTCCGAGCGAAATGAGGTCTGATTGGTTGAGGCAAACGGACACAACAACTCCCAACATTGTTGGGCTAGACTTCAAAACAGTCGGTTTTTTCCTCAAAATCAGTAAAGAAATCGGTAAAGCGTGGCGTAAGGGTCTTATGCTCGCGAAGCGCGCGAGCCTCACACCGTGTGAGGCGAGGAAAAAAGTCTCTCTCTCTGTTTTCAGCCTCGTTCCAGACCTTTTGTTTGACTGCTCGCGCGTACTTGAATACGCAAAACTACGGACTGTTTTGCAGCATTGTTTTTCCAACAATGTTGGGAGTTGTTGCGTCCGATCCGTTTGTCATAGCTAAGAGTTTGACCGGTTCCAAACTTTGCGCATAGCTGAACGTCTGCGTCGGATGCATTATCAATGAAATTTTCTATGGCAATCAGCGTCATCACGAGGCGAATTTTCTAGAGAATTCTATAGAATCTGGGGTGTGGGTGGCACCCCACAGAGTTTGAGGTTAGTAGACCAGACTGATTATGAAAGCCGGCAATTATCAAAGATAAAAACAAGACTGCTACCATTTAAGTTGCTTTGCAAGACACAAATAAGGCACCAGTAGAACAGCGGGCTTGTTGTAGCCGTTGACAGCTGTTTCACCATAATTGTGGTTCGTAAGTACGGCGTTACAAACGGAGAAGCTCTGGTGAGAAACACCCTCACACTCTTGCCCTCCCGGAGACTCGTGATATGGCGTTATTCGGGGCGGAGCCTCCCGTTTCCTCTTATAAAACTTTGTCGAGTGTTCCCCGGACGTCGCCCTCGGGATGAGAACTCTAAATACTTCGGCGACGCTTTACCCCGAGAGGAATTTGATGTTGAGAAAAATAAGGTGTATAATTCTTCAAACTTTCAGAAACCGATCACTTCAAGATGCCCTTGGCACTCTTCACAATTTGTCTTATATCCGGGATATACGGAAGTGAGGCTGGAGGAGGGCAATGTAAAATTTCAGAGAGATCATTTCTTGGTAAAGCTCTCAAGGGACACACCTTCAAACAGTTTGCAGTGAGGGCCATTGTTGAGTGCCAGAACACCTGTGAAAGAGACCCCAGGTGCGCGAGTTACAATTTTTACATTCCGGGCAAAGTGTGCGAGCTTAACAGCCAGACCAAGGAAGAAAGACCTGAAGACTTTGTGACAGATGAGCTAAGGTTCTATATGAGACGAGAAGGTACGATAATCTGTCTGTTCTCTCCCGTCTATTTCCTAGACTTACTGGTGGAAGTGAGAACCTGTGAATGCCAAAATACGATAACAAAGTTCCAAGATGCAAATCGAATAAGATTGCCATGTATTGTATGCGCAACATTAGTAAGCTGTTCAAATAAAATCACACTTTGCATGACCTTGACTTAGAACTAACCCACATATTTCCTATGCTAAAATCAGTTTTGTACCATTAGATGATGATGAATGCTTGAAGACCCCACCCGTTTGTGATGTCAACGCAAACTGCAAGAACACTCTTGGCTCCTATCTTTGTTCATGTATAGAGGGCTTTACAGGTGACGGCAAAACATGTCAAGGTAAAATTTTGAAAAAAATTGTCCTGCAATTTTTCGCTTATCTAGGTCATTCTCAAATTCGTATTCGTATTCTCCGTTTTGTATATAGAGGATATTACATGGCCACATGGGGATACGAATTCTATTTTCGAGTGCTGAAAGTATCTCTCACAAGTGAGCGAAGCGAACGAGTGAGAGATACTTTCAGCACAAGAAGATAAAATTCATATCCCCAAGCGGCATGTAATGTTTTGTTTATTTTATAGATGCTGATGAAATTCCTACATAAAACACAACTTTCTTTTATTCATTTTCGAAACAGCAAAATAGTGCAATTAAAGTGGTCACCTATCGAAAAATGCCTGTAACAAAAATGTTATGAAACTCGGATGTAATGTTATAAAGGAGAAATAAAGACAATAATACTTATATTTTCTGTTCCAAAAAGTCAAAATTCTAAAAAGGAAGAAAAATTATGTTATTTACCATGGCGACACCAATATCCTCAAACGTGAAAGATAAAAATAGTATCTTCACTGCGCGCGATGAAGATATGATTTTTTAGTAACAGGAAAAATCCTGGTATTTCATCAGTATCTATATCATAAAAATATTTCATTAGCTGTTATGTTTACTACCTTTTTGTTTGAAGTAGAATTGAATTTAGTTAACATCTTTAAACATTTTATTTCAGACCTAGACGAATGCCAGATGAGCACACACAATTGTAGCGACAATGGCACCTGCATTAACACCGAAGGTTCCTTTAACTGTAGTTGCAAACCAGGGTACAGAGGAAATGGCTACAACTGTTCAGGTACGTGCTTGCGAAGTCTTTCCTATTTTTTCTTTAGTTTTAACGACTTTTTATGGCAAAAAAAAATTACACTTAAAATGTTCAGGCATAATATAAGTTCAGAGTTCGTTTTCGTCTTGAAAACTCTCCTAACATTTTATTTCAGACTCAGACGAATGCCAGATGAGCACACACAATTGTAGCGACAATGCCACCTGCATTAACACCGAAGGTTCCTTTAACTGCAGTTGCAAACCAGGGTACAGAGGAAACGGTTACAACTGTTCAGGTACGTGCTTGAAAAGTCTTTCCTACTTTTTCTTTAGTTTTAACGACTTTTTATGGCAAACAAATTACACTTAAAATGTTCAGGCATAATATAACTTCAGAGTTCGTTTTCGTCTTGAAATCTCTTATAACATTTTCTTTCAGACGTAGACGAATGCCAGATGAGCTCTCTTATTTCCCCTTTACAAAGAAAACGGTTACAAAGGTTATGATTACGCTTACTTGTACTGTTCCCTTTTTGTAGACATTGACGAGTGCAGCCGCGGTACTCACAACTGCCACAGTTCCCTTGCTTCGTGTACCAACACAGTGGGATCCTTTAGTTGTTCATGTAACAATCCTTACAGTGGAGATGGCAGAACGTGCTATCCACTGGTATCAGGTAATCATATCGCCGAACACTAGGAAGGTGTCCATTTACTAGACCTCTATTCGGAGATGGCAAAACTTGCAATAATATTCCAGGGGCACCCAACGAGAATATAGTTCAAAACCACTTCACATAGCATTGTTAAACGTATTTTAGTATTTAAACGGTAGATAAAGGCATATTTTTATCCCCTAGAAATTTTTCATCTTTTCGAATTTCCTAGCTGAAAGTCTAGTGATCCGAAAATTATAGAGATCAAAACTTAGCTTTTCGAAAATTTCAGCCAGAAAAAAGGCTCCCGAAAATTCTAGGTGACCTTTTTAGGATAAAAATACGTTAAAAATGGCCAATTATACCATTTTTTAGGTGTTCGAAAATCCTAGCAGAGGCAGGCAAGCAAGAAATTTTACAACAAATGTTCAGAAAATTCTAGATCTCAAATCGTCTTCCGAACAGATATTTTTCCGAAAATTGTCGTTGGGTGCCCCTGATATTCCATACGGTAATTATTATCACCAAGAAATAGGAATGTGTTCATTCACTAGACCCTTATTTACTCTCGCTAGAAGCATGTTACTTTAACCTTGATTGTTTAAAGAGGGTTTCAGTTAAATGCAAATATTGCCCAGATCTCTTGTCGACGAAGCCGAAACCGAGATCTGGTCAATAAATCAAATTCAATTCTCCTTTTTATGAGCCACTCAAACTACCTAAAAAGTACTTTTGCATCGCGGGAGTGACATGAGTATTGTCATCAGCGCGCGCTATGGTGTCTGCAATTCATTCTTCTTGGTCTTTTCCCCTGTTGCTTGCTAGCCTGCGAGCAAACTCTCCTATTTTGGCGAGCAAAGCGAGCCTCGCGAGAACGCGCGAGCGAGAGGCCGAGGAAAGGAGAGTTTGCAACGATCGCTCATAAATTTTCATTTCCTCCCAGGAAACCCTAGTCTGTTACACAGCCGTTGTTAGTGTCGTCACGCATTACGTGACGACCAATGCGTGACGACCCTAAAAACGGCTGTGTAGCAGACTACGGAAACCCCGGGACTCCGTAAAGCGTCAAACTGTCATCGCAAACGTGCCGGAGATTAGAGAAGTGCGGACCGCCTGTCAAGGCGTAACAGTATCAAAACAATGTTTTTGATGACTGAAGATATACTTTTTTTTTCTACGGGGACATCGAACTTCAACGTGTCCGCTCGGATGAAAATTCAA